GATTTCGAACAGGCTACTCAACAATTGACCACATTCATACTATCAATCAGGTAATAGAGAAACGCTCAGAGTATAACCAACCACTATACATAGCCTTCATAGATTACGAGAAGGCGTTTGATTCAGTAGAAATATCAACCGTCATGCAGACACTGCGGAATCAGGGCGTAGATGAAGTATATATAAACATTCTGGAAGAAATCTACAGGGGATCAACTGCTACCATAGTGCTTCATAAAGAAAGCAACAGAATACCAATCAAGAAGGGTGTAAGGCAGGGGGACACAATCTCCCCAATGCTATTTACCCCGTGCTTACAGGAGGTTTTCAGAAGCCTAGAATGGGAACAGTTAGGGATAAGAGTTAATGGAGAATACCTTAGTAACCTGCGCTTCGCCGATGACATTGCATTGCTGAGTAACTCAGGAGACGAATTGCAACTCATGATTACGGAGTTAGACAAGGAGAGCAGAAAGGTGGGTCTTAAAATTAATCTGCAGAAAACGAAAGTAATGTACAACAACCTCGGAAAGGAGCAGCGCTTCGAGATAGGTAATAGTGCACTTGAAGTTGTAAAAGACTATGTCTACTTAGGGCAGGTAATAACCGCAGAGCCAAACCACGAGATTGAAGTAACTAGAAGAATAAGAATAGGGTGGAGCACACTCAGCAAGCACTCTCAAATTATGACAGGTAGATTGCCACTATCCCTCAAGAGGAAGGTGTATAGCAGCTGTATCTTTCCGGTACTTAGCTACGGAGCAGAAACCTGGAGACTTAAAAAGAGGGTTCAGCTTAAATTGAGGACGACGCAGCGAGCAATGGAAAGAAAAATGGTAGGTGTAACCTTAAGAGACAAGAAGAGAGCAGAGTGGATTAGGGAACAAAGGGGGTTAAGGATATCATAGCTGAAATAAAGAAAAATAAATGGACATGGGCCGGGCATGTAGCGCGTAGACAGGATAACCGCCGGTCATTAAGGGTGACTAACTGGATTCCCAGAGAAGGGAAGCGGGTTAGGGGGAGACAGAAGGTTAGGTGGGCAGATGAGATTAAGAAGTTCGTGGGTATAAATTGGCAGCAGCAAGCACAGGACCGGGTTAACTGGCGGAACATGGGAGAGCCCTTTGTCCTGCAGTGGACGTACTCAGGCTGATGATGATGATGATGATGATGATGTGAATTTAGAAGTAAGAGTGACAGTCAGCGCCATCTATAAGCCAAGCGACGAGTGTGAAAACACTCTTTTATGCGCATGTTTGGCGTCACGTAGCACGTGAACTTATTATGAGCGGGCAGCTGATTAATAGTCCCTCGTATACAACCTGATGACACCAAGTCTGCCAGTACGATACCCTCGTTTAGTACGAGACCCACAACTCGCGAAAGAGCTGGAACGCCACTGTAAATTCTGCTCCCCCCTTTTTCTTTATGAACCCCATTGAAATAATAAATGTTTGATAAACCACCTGTCAGAACGCAAGAACGTGTGACATGCCTACAAGTGCGATAAGATGAGCAAGTGGCCATTAGCGCACCTCCTTTCGTATTTTGTTAAAGCAAAAGTCTTAGATGCCGCACCCAACCCGAAAATTGGCTGTTGGCCGACGTTGGCATGAACACGAATGATGGAAGACTATCATCACCATGTGGTGACGTCTCCATACAGCTTCATCGCAACGTCACATTGTGCAATAATATGTGACGTCCCCATGACGTCACTAAGACTTCGCATAACGGGACCGCAGATAATGACGTCATCGCATGACATTGCTGCTTGATCAAAGGTGGGCTGATCACGAAGGGAATGCAAAAAACCAGGGTAAGTGCGGAAAGCTGCCTAAGGGGGCGGCGGAGGCTTATTTTAGCTAGAGCCACATTATTCTTGGCGGGTGCGAAAGAAACAGTGCGAGATTTCGCGATAAAATTGTGTTGGGTGTCTAGAAAAAGTTTTACTGTCGCTATTATTTGTTCTATGAAGTCTAAATTGATAACGTGTGACTTAAAAAATAGTAAAAAGAAGAATGTGGCCGTCTTTTTTGCCAATGACAGCACTTGCTTACTTAGCTTTGTGGCCAATGTTTTAGAAACGGACAAGAAGGCGCTGAGGTTTCAGAGTGCTGGGACCACCTGCTCTCATATAAAGAGCTAACCAAAGATTTCTACCATGGACGCAGGATCTTCCCCTTTCACACAGTAAACTAAGAAGAGCTCAGGCTATTACGCTAGAGCCATTACAAACAAAAAGTTACACGAACCCGCTTTTGATTAACAGGATTTATCCGGAGTTCTCTATTTCTGCAACATGAGATAAATGTCACGAGAACGCTCATACGCTTTGGCACCGCTCCGTCTTACGCAGTGAAAATGAATATCCTGGAGAACGGTGGGACGTAGCTCTATGCTGTCTTACATTAGAGGTACAGTTATGGGCAGTCCAACTGACCTGTGAAGCTGCTGAGAGGCTAGGTCTTTCGGTGTCAATGTGGGAGTGGCCAGTGTCGAGTTAGGACTTTAGCTCGACCTATTGGACGTTACTAAAGTTCTTTTATCCATCCGTCATTGTCTTATAACGTGAGCATTCAGTGCTAATCTTGTATTTCTTGCATGGTCACGGACTCTCAGTGTTTTCATATATATATATGGCAATAATTACGATCATTTTTGTATTTTTCCAGTTTGATCTATTATGTTTGTTATTTTCTATATTTATGCTAATTGTATTTTGGGAAACTGTGACTATGATTGTTTACTCTGCACGTTGTCACTGTAATGAACATGCATCCTATGCCCCCAATTTATAAGGGGTTTCGGTTTAGTCGGGCCCATTGCAGGCTTTTTGACCACGACCTTCAGCCACCCAAGTGTTAGAAATATATAAAGTTTCTAAGTGTTGTGATGCGGAAGGCGAATGCTGAACACTGGTTACGCTCCTACCTGCTTCATAGCTATGTGTGGCATGCTGGTTTGATTGTAGCCATCTTATTGAAGTATGCAATACGCACAAAAGAAACGAGTAGCATTCTACGACACCTTCATTAAGTACTAACCGACCAGCGCAGGTAAAAGTTGTTCTAAGAAGTATAACAGAACAAGTTGAGATAAAAAGCATGTTTACGCTCACCATTCTTTTGTCCGTCGCCTATACGCCGCTTCTAGAGCGCTATTGACGAGGTCTAAAACCAGATAATAATTACAAGCAGACAATTAAGAATCGCGAAGGTCTGCCACTAGAAACACCTTCATGTGATTCTTATGTGATTCTTAAAGGGAAAATAAGAGAGAAGTAAGACCCATAACTGTCTGCATCAGAGTGCGGCACCTCAACAGTAGCTCATGAGGGATGGCAGTAAAGGAAGGATTAAAAGGATAGGATTAAACGGTAAAGAGAGAGAAAGAGGAAGGAGAGAGCGAGGCGCAGGGACAGCGAACGACAGAAAACGACGGAAGTAAAGAGGAGATAGGAAAGATGGACACGGTCGCAGGAGTCCGAGGACGGGACACCACTATGCGAGAGCTGTTGTCGGCGTCAGGAGATGGCGTAGGGCGAGCCCAGTCGGCCAAAGCTGCGCTGTCGTCGGAGATCGCGGGAGAACAACCGGTCGGAATGAAATCCAGAGAGCGAGTCTTAGAAACACTCTATAATGAACTGTGTACTATAACACGGCTTCCATTGTGGCATATCAGCAACGTGCTGGTAATTTGTGGGACATTCTTGTGGGACGAAAAATTTACAATTAACTCTCTGGCAACTAAAAATCCCCCTCTCTGTTATTTACAGGTGATGCTATACACAACGTTCACGGCTGTTGGCTGTTTTAGGGCATCATTAGCTGTCTAGTTACTGTGGCTGCTAAGGAATGTCACCATGTGCGCGCACTGAGAGGAGATGCATGTTCGTAGAAAGAAAAAATAACAAGTGGCTTATCTAAACCATAATGCGGGAGTGGAGGTGGGGGATCACATGACCACTCTCAGAGGTATCACCCAGCACTACAGACTGAACAGATACAAATATCTACCACTACACAAAAAACTAAACAAGAAACAGGTAGGTTGCCTGGAGACAATTACAGACTCACACAGTGCAGCAGGTATAGCATGCACCAGTCCTCTATGAAACGGGTAGACGTGGCAGTCTCGAACTGCGAGGCGCGATGGGAGGTGGCTCTGCTCAGCCGCGACCTCGCCGATTAACTGTGGGCAGTCCGGCACGCCCACAAACACTCGTAATCCCGCTCGTACAAGACGGAGTCTAAACTTTATTGCGGCATGCGATTCCTGAAGCGTCATACGCTAATCGTGAGACTATTACATTATAACCAAGAAACCATCGCAAAAGACCCGAAGTATACCTGAAAACGATTCGATTTGTACGTTGCTCGCCAACAATGAGAATAATTACCGAGTAGCTAACCTTTCCGTTTTGCTATCAGAATCTTTGTCACTTCTTAGTCTTGCTGAAGGAGTAAGTATGTGCGACTTTTTCGGAGGCTTGCCAGATAGTAAAATGGTGCTTACAAAATGTCTAGGCTTTTATGGAATCAACTGCTGGAGGTTTAGCGACTGCTGAAAATGCGCTTTACGTTGCGCTGCCAATAATGGGTCCCCGAAAAATTACGGGTCTGTGTACTTAAAGCAAATTGCGTGAAAGTGTCGCAAAACTCCTAAACGCGAAATCTTTCTTATTTGTCAAATAATTTGAGTTTAGATTTGTTTGTTTGTAGGTGCTTTCGGCGTGTTATTTGTCACGCAATATCTTTCACCAATCGCCACCTCACCAGGACTATAGCTTGAGAGCTGTGTCACAGCAGGTATATAGGTGTAAACACGGGGGGCGGGGGGGGGGTAGGTTTTTTTCCCGAAGTCACTAAGAGAGGGAAGCGCTGCAATAGACCTTCGCTTCCCCCCCCCCCCCCCCCGTAAAGGGACACTCCATACGCATATGAACACTTAATTCTCGCATGCTTCGAGAAATTGGCGCTTTCTATTATGCTCACCGGCTGGCGGCAGCTCGGTGCCCTGCACGGACGTCTTTCCTTCATTGGAATTGCAGCCCTTGATCTCCAACAGAGTCTCCAGAGTTTTCCGTGAATACGTTGGGCGTTTCCGGTTCTTCTGGCACGGCTTTCCTGGCGTTACGAGGCAGCCGGTGATTGCAGCTCGAAGGTCGCTGCGCACATAGGTAGCAGACGATAAAGCGTCATATAAACGAAATAGACTGCGTACGCAGCATGCTCAATTCTCACGACAGTAAACGTGTACAGTGTACTTCATGGCAGCGTAATTAACGTGGATGACAGCTTGTCAACGGGAACTTAGCATGCGTACAATCGTTTATGCTTTCGTTGGACAGCAAAGCAAACAAACGTGATGTTGACCTTCTTGCATACGTTGGCGAACTCGCTCATGAGTCAACTAACTCGGGGTGCTATTCTGGACATTGTCGAATTCTGCCATGTTGTCAGATTCCGCCATTGATCGATGCTAATTGGCCAAGTCAGCTGCTATGACCTCTCTAATTGGCTTAAAATGTCGCCATTGCGAAATTTGACGATATGACGGAATTCAGCAGTGTCCAGAATAGCTTCCTCGGACTCCCTCGGATTCAGATCAAGCCGTGAGTCTGAAAGTGTGAGTGACTCCGGGTGAGTAATATCAAAAGCTCGAAATTTATCTCATGAGTGAGTCTCAGTGAGCTCAACAAATGTTGTCGACCTATGCCTTCTTGATCTTGTTCACCTTTAAACTGTGGCGCATACCCACTGTGGGCGACCTTGCTTGCTTGCTTGTGCCTATGTTTGGCTCGTGCCCAGTACGGGGGATTGGCCATTAAACCGGTAGTCAAGACAATGGGGATAGAATAATCAAAGATAGAATAATCAAATTTCATGAAGAAAAGTGAACTAAACAGAGATCGAGGGTATATGAAGTTCCACGATCATAAGGTAACGTTTTATCAAAGTAGCTGCAAAACTGTTATTTGAAATGAATGAATGAGTTCCAAAGAACTATGTATTAATTAGGAATAACCTCACCGATCAACTGTGGCCAGTCTGGCACTACCAGGAAGCCGCCCGTGTCTAAGGACTCAAGGGCGTCACCTAGGCTGGAGTGCTTGTAGTCCCACCCCGCTAAATACCGCCGGACAGTGTCAACGAAGGTTTTACTCACTCACTCGCTGTAAGAAATTTGCTAACTGCTGTGCAGACGTTCCTGTTACTGTGGCCCAGAGAAGAAGCTCCAAGGGAAAGAATGTCTTTAGAATTAAAAGTAATGCTTCTTTTTTGAATAAAGTTTCTAAAAAAAAGTTTTCCCATGGAGTTCGAAATGTCGGCAAGGGAGTGAAAAATTGGAAATCTTTTCAGGCTAGCGACAGTAAAAGCCAAGAAGATATTACGCCTGACCAGATCAGTATTAATAAAAATTAGAAGACGGATTCCGACAACAAAGTATTGTGAAAAATACTTCAAGTTTGCGAGTTGGGAAGCATTTATTATCCCAAGAAAAAGAAAAATGAGGTTATTCTTGAACTGATAGCTTAATTTTCATGCGATTCTGAAGTAAACATGATCTCCGGATTCGGGATTCAGTAACAAAAGCGGTATCAAGTACAACGGACATTACAGGTTCATCTAGCGAACATCGCACGAAAGCATCATCCATTTAGCTTATAAATATACCTTCCTCCTCTGCTTTTCCTCCTCATCAAACACTGTGAATCCTGCCTTCAACAGTGTACAAATTCCAACATAAGTTATCTGCATGCATGAAAAAAAAATATTAGCCTATTGAGCACTTCAACCACCATGTTCGGTCTATGTGTTTTCGGCAGTCAGTGAGATAGGGTCGCGCTCATGCAAATTCTTACTGCATATCCCTCTTATAACGTTTGGAGAATGACAGGTGCAGCACTTGTTTTTTTTTTGTTTTTGGAATGCAGGCAACAAGGTATCGCATGCATGTGCAGCAAGACATCTGAAACAAAACTGTCGATCGCAACGGGGTTGAGGTTCAGTGATTCGAAGATAAACTAATATGCCTGAAAATGTTGTGTTAGACATTGCTTGGGAGAGAAAATAAGCGAGTGTCGATAAGCGGCCTCGAAGTGAAGTGCCAAATTGGACGGTTAATAAAGGTGAGAGAAAGAGTGTCGTCACTGAGGGCATCGTCAAAGTGAATGGTGGATGCGCTGTTTGGCGAGTCGGTTTCGGTTTCTCAAGGCTCCAACTAAATTGCCCAGATGGCATCGCTCCGCGGTGATTACCAGTGGACGCGTTTCTCAGATTTCAAAGTAGCTATAGACTATTCGTAGCAAGGGCTTGAATTCGCCAATCGGACCCGACTGGCTATCACCACTGGCTACAAAGCTAATTGTGCTCATTGTTATAATTACTGCCGTAATTGATGTTTGTACGCATCTGGAGATGCCTTTTGCCACAGGAAAGGCAACACTGCAAGTAGCACGCACATACCTTATTTCTGTCATTTTTAAAGAATACTGGACACATTTCTTGAAACACCCTGTACAGTGGTGAGCACTGTTAGGGTGAACACGCAAGCACGTGGCCGACGGCACTATCAGCGCCCCGTTACGGTCATCACTTGAAACATTGCGCATGCGCATCACGCCTTCCGCGAAATAATTGTTCCACCGTGCGCATGACGTCATGAATGCACTTGTTCGTCGTCTGCTAGCCGCATTTTTGTTTTCGAAGCCCATGCATCCTGCATTTTAAGATTTCTTTAAACATATGTGCTTGAACAGAACAAGACAAAAAAAAACTTGTATATCTATGGGGCGTGTCTATTCGTTCCCTTCAAAGTTGTTGTACATGCAACGCCGTATATAAAACAACCAAACATCTTTTGCAGCCGTTCATTCTGTCGTCAGATCGTATTATGGCTAGGGTTTCTGATGATGAACGGCGCTCAATTGTCGATCTTTCCCTGAAAGGTTATTCCCAGCGGTATATTGGCACTTTAGTTAATAGGCCCCTAAAGACTGTGAACAGGATAATTCAAGCCTGCAAGTATGAAGGTCGCATTCAGGATGCACCCCGCTCGCCCCGCCCTAAAGCTACCACAGACGATGAAGACGCCCTCATAGTTGCAGCTGCTGTTCGTAACCCTTCCTTGCCAGCCCCAGCAATACGTGAGGACTTGGATTTGGACATTTCGGACACCACTCTTCGACGTCGCTTGCGTACTGCGGGCCTTCGCCGTCGCGTCGCAGCGCAGAAGCCACTACTAACGGCGGCACACAAGGACGCACGACGGCAGTTCGCTGAGTTGCACGAAGCATGGACATCAGAACAGTGGGGTCGCGTCATTTTTTCCGATGAGTCAACGTTTTCGACGCGACAAGACCAAAGATTGCGTGTTTAGAGACTACCAGACACACGGTGAGGCGAACTTCCTGCTTTGAAAGTCAATTGTTTTAGTTAACGTCAAAATGCTACGCAGGAACAACCCAGACAACGTGCAAGGTGTTTTTGCCAGTGGGAGATCGAGTGTGAACATGTGGGGGGCTGTTTCAAGATATGGTTTAGGGCCTCTGCAACGCAAACGTGGACACTCATCGTCGGAACAATACTGCAACATTTTGAACAGTGTGCTGTTGCCATATGCGAGCAGTTTATTCCCAGACGGTGATTACCTGTTCCAACAGGACCGGTCACCGTTACACACGGCGCGGGTTGTCAAGGAGTTCCAGGCGGAGCAGCACATGCAGCTACTGGATATCACTACTGGAATAGCCTCCGAAAGAAGCGGACCTGAATGTGATAGAAAACGTGTGGGGCCGTCTGAAAGCTTCTTTGGCAAGAAAGACCCTTTATTCCGCGACTTCAGACCAGTTGTGGGCGCAAGTCAGCAACGAATATGTTCGATCACTTTACGACTCGTTACCGTCCAGAATAGCTGCAGTCGTTGCCGTAAGCGGTCACATGACTTGCTCTTAGATTTATTTGCTCATGTTTTTTATATTTGTTCTCATGGTCTTGTTTAACTTGAATTGCAAAAGTACAATTTTCTTGAATAAAACGTTTAATAATTATCCCTCTTACACTCACTTTTTTCCTTCACGCGCCAATCTTCAAACCAGATGGACCTTGAAATGCAGAAGGTATCAGCTCAGCGAACAAAAAATGCGGCTAGCTGACGACGAACAAGCGTATCGATGACGTGATGCGCGCGGTGGAAAGAGTGTTTCGCAAAGCACATGCTGCGCATGTGCAATGTTTCCAACGATGGCAGTGACGAATGTCGCGAATATATAGTTTTGTCATATGACGCACCTACAAGTATACAAAAAAAAAAAACCTGCACAGCTTTGTCGGCTTGATAGTTTCCATTCTGTGGTCTTTGCTGGTGAGTATAGCGCGAACTTGTCTTGATACGCCAACGTGCACGTAATGTCCACTTTTTAAATGTTTGTTTATTGGAACTGAAACATATTTGGTAGTTTCTATAGTTACTGCCACAATTAATGTCTGTACGCATCTGAAGATGGCTTCTGCCACAGGAAAGACAACGCCGCAAGTAGCACGCAGGTACCTTCTTTGCGTGATTTTTAAAGACTATTGAACACACTTCTTGAAACACCCTGTATATGTAGGATTGGCTCCGCCGTGGATGGTCTAGTGGCTAAGGTACTCGGCTGCTGATTAGCAGGTCGTGGGATGGAATTCCGGCTGCAGCGGCTGCATTTCCAATGAAGGCGAAAATGTTGTATGTCTGTGTGGTCATATTTGGGGTTAAACAACTGCAGGAAGCCGAAATTTGCGGAGCCCTTCACTACGGCGTCTCTGATAATCATACGGCGCTTTTGGGACGTTAAATACTACATATCAATCAATACATAGAATTTAGCGTCCCAAAACCACCCCATCATTATGAGAGATGTCGTAGTGGAGGGCTCCGCAAATTTCGGTCTCCTGCATTTCTTTAACGTGCTCCCAAATGTGACCTCACAGACATACAGCATTTTCGCCTCCATCTAAAATGCAGCCGCCACAGCCGGCATTTGATCCTGTGACCTGCGTGCTCTACGCTAGGAACAGTTAAATGTTTTTAGCCCATGAGTGTCTTAAAAATGCGACATAATCTGTCTTATTCAGGATATATAATCTGAACCGTAGGCACGACAGATTAAAGAAGTAATCTTCGGGACGAATATTATCAAGACGAAAAATATTTCTATAAGGTGAACTATTAAGGACACTTACAACCGTCGTCGTCTTTAAAATTTCAGTCGTTTACGAATATATTTTCTCAGCCATCAGCAATACGTATTGAAAAGTCAACCTCCACCAAAATATATCTGAAACTTGAAATCCTGCTTTAAGGTGAATTTTTGAAAAATGACCTTTCTCGCCAAGCAGCACATAGCGCGTTATTTATTTATTTATTTATTTATTTATTTATTTATTTACTCTGTTAGCCGAAAGGTCGATAGAGTGTGAAGTACTGAAATACACTTCACACAATGTTCAAAGATACGTACAAGCAGCACATAGTGAAATTTGGTCAATGCATGTACGAACATGCCTGGACCACCCAGAATTGAAATTGGAACTTGAGCATACGCAAGCCATTTCTCACTGCGATAAAGGAAGTAACGTGCAGAAGGATGATCGCATGTGGTGTTGGCATCGAGCCAGCAATCACGAGTGCTTACAGAACTTTGCGCAATTTACTGGCAGCGATAACTGTTAAAGTCTATTCCGTCCGAGCTCTTCAGCGCTGATCTTGAAGCCATGCGTGCAGCTGCTTCTGCTTCTGTGATGCCAGTTGAGCTCACCGATCTAGCATGTGCGGCCATGCGCGACAGTCATGCCCTCGATTGCGCTGTTTTGTGCCTATGTCATGATTCTTAGAGACATTGGACGCATATGGGAAGAACCTGTACTCCACTGCATATACGACGTATGTGCCCTAATGCCATTATATTTCTGTGGAGTTGCTGTACAGGCTGACTGAAGGTTAAAACGTTAGGCTCCCTACGCAGAGTCGTGCCTTGTCTTGCGTGCAGAGGATGCTCGCAACTTTCTTTCTTACATATTCTGCCAAGAAAGACACGGCACGTCGATGTGAGATTATTTTTCCTTGGATTTATAGATTCTGTAAGAACCACAGGCTACAGCCATATCTTAATTTAAGAAAAGTTGATTTCTGTTGCGTTGTACTCTGTATTGGAGAACCAAGTGTGCGACGTGTGTCCGCAGTGCGTGACTGCGTCATTCATTCAAAATAAGTGTATAAAGTGTTAAAACATACGCGTAAGCTATATTTCTCGTTCACGTTTGAATGCACATGTTCGAAACCACTTTTACAGAGAAAGGTGTTATGAGATCAAAGCTTGGGTCACGCGCGGCGCCGCGAATGCTTTGTCCGCCGCCGCCGCCTCCCGTGACCAAATCGCGCGAAATTAGAAAAAAGAAAACTGAGTACTAATGACACAGTGGCGCTCGAATTCGAGTCCGCTGGGTGCTTGCCCAGTATCCTACCACTGAGCCACGGCGGTGCTTGGGACTTGTTGGCAAACTTGCTTTAGGCAGGCGTGATGTCGGGAAACCAATCGCGTTGATACGACTTATAAAGCGTTTAAAAACAGCGAAAGAACAAACAGTCGTCGCACAATGCGAATAGCGTAACGAGTCGGCCGTCCAATGCTCCGACCCATTAAAAAGATTGTTCTTGTTCCTCTATTAACTGTGGCGCATACCCACTTCAGGCTTTATTCTTCGTCGTCGTCAGCCACTGCATCAACAATTGGTAAAAACTTCTTGTGAGTGTTTAGTGGATAAAAGGTTTCTCACAAGAATAAAAAAAATAGCATAGCGAATGCCGGCCTACTACCCCAAAATGTTTAATAACAATGCTGTAGTGGGTATCAAGCAAGTGTGCTTGCAGCAGTTACCCAGTGAGTATTTAGAAAAGGCTCTTAAAGGCCGCTCTTCTAGCTTTAGCTGTGACTGCATGTGTTGCGCCTTTCGTGCAGGCCTGGCGTTTTTTTTTGTTTGTACTTGACCTAGATTCAGTAAACTGACCGCATATGATCATTATTGGCGGCTTAGTGTAGCTGCAGTTTGTATAAAGTAATTATCTTAAGCAGCGTGCGCCCCGTAAAAAGTTTGCCCCGCCGTGGTGGTATAGTGGCTAAGGTACTCGGCTGCTGACCCGCATGTCGCGGGTTTGAATCCCGGCTACGGCGGCTGCATTTTCGATGGAGGCGGAAACGTTGTAGGCCCGTGTGCTCAGATTTGGGCGCACGTTAAAGAACCCCAGGTGGTCGACATTTCCGGAGCCCTCCACTACGGCGTCTCTCATAATCATATGGTGGTTTTGGGACTTTAACCCCACATATCAATCAATCACGTAAAAAGTTTTGAGATGTTACACACATGTTTCTCATGGTTTCTGGTGTCACTGCAACAAGTTTGTGGATAAGAGAATCTTCATAACGACAATGTTCTAACTAGTTCGTCGTTTCCGGCACCTTTATTAGTATGATGAAGGCCTGGGTGTGATTCTTTGTCAAGGCATGATAACTAAATGGTCATTTTAAGGGAGGGGTGTTTTTTTTTTTTCATTATCGTGATGATACTTCACCTCGGCAGTCAAGGCAAATAATGATACTTGCCTCTCTTATTTTTCACAGGTTGTAATTACCCTAGATGTTTAGAGCAAGCGCTACATGAACTAAATTATGACCTCTTTATTAATGGGGTTATTTGCTGTTTCTCATATCAATAAACATGGATGCAAGGACATTTTAGTTTTTCTCCTTTCGCTCCTTTCGTTGTGGTCTTTGAAGCAAACAAACGGTGACACAACTTATTAGCGCAGCTGCAAAATTCCGTCAATATCTGTGTAAGCTGGCACGGTAAAAAAATTGCACCGTGGGGCGTCGCGGTGAACGATTGCGGCCAATCATCGGTGCGCCTAGTAATTTTTCTTAGGTGCTGTGTGACGTTCATTGGGACGTATTCAAGTGACATCATCCGCAAGGGGTGCCAGCGAAGGTGGTTTTCGTACCTTTGCTCGCAGAATTATGTACCTGATTTTGAACCCTGTAACACTTATTCAATTGAAGGTTAGAATATGGGATTGACTACCATTATTTGTGTAGATTGGGTATAGGCATTGCTTACACAAATAAGTACCCGATTTCAAACTTTTCCATTGTTATTTTGCGTAATATTTGTACATAACATGACTTACACTGTCACTGTTTATACATACTGCAATACTGTTCTGTAAAATTGGAATGGATTATTGGGAACACCGTTTAATAATTTTTCTTTCATTGTCGCTTTTTCGCATTTAGTGTGTCCGTGCGAACAGCTGTGCACGAACATTTGAGATAAACCTCTCGCGTGGAGAGATGATTCGACCAAAAATATAGCAGAAAATTCTGAAAGAAGGTGCGGATAATACATCCAGCTACTCACTCGCAACTGCTCTTGGCATCCATTGTGGAGTTCTCAAACTTGTCCATCTCTTTCCTCAGGCATGCCACAATGAGTGGCAGCGGACTGCACGCGCCCAATCGGACAGATGCTGCGGAGAAGATACGGGAGAGTGTTCGAAAATGAAATCGTGAAGAACAGTTCGCAAATGTATCATTGAAAGGTTAATTTGAAAAAAAAAAAAACCACAGGGGGTCAAAATGTCTGGAGCCCTGTACTACAGCGTCTCTCATAATCATATGGTGGTTTTGGGACGTTAAGCTCTTACAATTATCACTATAATGTTGACACTTCGTCATGTAGATAACGTTCGAACTCGTGCAGACCAACCTAGATTTTATATGAGGGATGTAATCACTTCCGGTGTAACCATAACGTCATCTCGAAGGTGTTAGAATGTCCGACATATCGAACGAAAAGAAAGTGTTCTGTAAACAGTATGAGGGGATACATCTATATCCACTGACGTATTGTTCGAGTTCCTATCGGTGTGATACATCACCCTTCGCACTGAAATTGCATCGCGTAATTTCGCCCGATGGCATGAGTACATATCACACAAAATTGTGCAGCTGCGTTTCCTCCAGTAAGTCTGGAGAGACCTGCGGTTTGAACCATAACTCCATTGCTGCAAGTTAAGTGGTGTGGTGTGCTCGATAGGCGCTCATCTAAAGGGCTCATTTATTGCTCATACTGGATAGTGGAGAATAACGCCCTGTGTTGATGAATTTTCGATCCCTTCAATCATCCATCTTACTTCAAGCTGCTTTCGAATTTCCAACGTTGGTGTAACAGGAAGCGCACAAGATTCTTGGTGTGGTTGCTACGCGGCGTCCTTCTAGGTATGTAAAACCAATTTGTATACGAAGATGTCAATGGTGAAGTGGGCCTTTTGACTTTTGCATACAAAGTTTGTTTTTTGCAGCATACAGCAAGCAAGAAACGCCATACTATGGAAAGAGTGCTATTGCACAACCTTCCGGCTGCAAATGGGGCTAAGAGACTCTGTAGCCATGGCATGATGTGTCACTTAAAGTGGTCATAATGATAGTCTCTCTTTGTACGGCACGAAAGAAGTTTTTCTGCATGAAGGTTACCAAATGGACTCACATTTGAGCAGCTTCATGCTAGCGTCCTTGCAGGCGTCTTCGTGTACCGCTCTGTAGAGTCGCTCCATGCCTTCCAGTTCAGGATGATGATGGAGACACGGATTCATGACCTCCTGGCAAGGTGACTCAGCGTCATGCTGCCTGCAACAAAGAAATAAATGAAGACACCAATTTTGGCGTTTCCATCAACTGAAATTTTACGTGCATGTGCGTTATTGGGTTGTCCTTCACTTATTTTTCGGACTGTAATAACCTTTATTCAGAGTGTGGCGTAAGCGCACGCACGTGCACGCACAAGGAGACGGAAAGCCGAGAGGCTCCGTATTTGTTTACTTGTAGCCATCAACATTTTAGGCTAAAACTGAAAAACGGATGAACTTTAATTATACAGCAATGACTTGGTCACCGAGGAGTATGTACTTGTAGTCGCACGAATGCCAAGAGCGAAAATGATCTAGCTACCAGCAAAGAGGAAACAGCTTGCTACCGCTTGGAGGTGTGCGCATGTCTGCTATGCTCAACTTTCTGTTTAGAGGCGAAGCTACTTAAAGCGGCACCCGTTCGTCCCTCGTAGCAGTACGTAACCAGTCTTACGCTTTGACCTGCAAGGTGGTGCCGGTGGGAGATTTTTCCCGAGCGTTGTTGAACAAAAAAAAAAATCGCAGCGCGCACGTCAACTAAAAGTCGAATTCTCCTGTCTCTCACTCCCCATTAGCAGCCATTGGCATGCACATTGAGCACTATCTGACAAGAAAGAGTTGCTACGTTATACTCGCTGGGCGTAACTTCCTTGGTTTTAGAAAGGTTTAGTGAGCGTGGGGCCGCAGTGCCATGAAAATAGTGAACCAGGTTTTCCCCCTCCCTTTAATCCAAGTGTCAGCTTAAATAATCTGCACGCCATGGAAATATTCTGAGTGCCGAGCTATTTAATTCCCTTGCCAAACATTTAACCCAAGCACCAACATATGCAATCCAAGCGCCAACTCACTCAGGCCACGTGCCATTGAGTTTAATCCAAGTGCCACCGTGTTTAATCCAATTGCCAACGACATTAATTGAGGTGCCAGTCAATTTAATCCACGCAAAAAAACCAGAATACGGGGCGTAAAAACGGCAGTACAATTGAAATGCAGTTCCTACAGTATGAAAGACAATAGTCGAAGGGTAGAATAAAATATTGTAATTTGTATTCGCCGATAGTATTCGTGAAAAACAATTACTGCCGTGGTTCGCTTGAGCCGTGTTTGGAGGGCATATACTTTGCTAGCTGCAAGTTTGTATAATGAGTGCTTGGCCCAGGTGAAATTTTTTTAATGAAAACAAAAAAAAAACGCAGGAACATATTACTGGATATTTTACAGTGCAATGAAATTCAGTGTCCGTCACTAAAGCTCATAATTGACTTTGGCACATCATTACATGACCAGGACAGGTCATGTAATGCGAAGGACAGACTATTTTTATATGAGTGCCGGAATGTATGCCAAGATATTGAAAACCTGGCCATGGGCAGTGATGGGTCAAAGGCAGCTACATAATCAAGAAATTAGGAGGCTGTCGCGCGGCACTGTTAATCAGAGATAATTCCAATATGTTTTTGTCCTTCAGTGAACGTAAAACGTAAACTGATCATCCTGATGTGGCAATGGAAGTTTTATCCTACAATATTGTTTTCTCCTATCTTTTCATTGAAACACAGTTAAATGTCTCTAATGATACGAACAATACTGATTGTTCGTTAAGCTTGGTAGTTTTGTGACGTACTTGATCAACGCGATGAAACGAACACAAAGGAAACAAAACGATAATAACACGCAATTGACCTTGGGCCCAGCTTTCTTTTTTTCTGTAGGTGTTTTTTACGCAGCATTATGCCTCTCATCGAACATTGGAAGCTTGCGGATTCAGTGAAATCACTAAATTATTTGTTCTGTCCCCCCTCCGCCCTCGCTCTCCACACACACACACACACACACACACACACACACACACACACACACACACACACACACACACACACACACACACACACACACACACACACACACACACACACACACACACACACACACACACACACACATATATATATATATATATATAAGAAAATCAAAAGTGCTCACTACTAATTATTCAGGAAATGCAACATAGGCACAGGTGAGCGTATTGAAAAAAAACAGAACTGTCTCATAGGGCTCGGAGGTGGACGTTCACAAGTCATCTTCACGCAAACAGGCAGGCACGAAAGAGAAATCGTGCCGATAAAAGGGCGCACAGTCCACGCGCTGCATTTGTTCCATGGAGTGGCGAGCCGCATCCAGCAACAAATAATGACTGTGCTCCTTTTTCGTCATGCCTTGCGGTGTCACTAGAGCAAAATCACGACGTTCGCTCAGGTAGGCCTTCACGTGTGACTTGCATTTCGAGAAGGCTTCTTCTATAGGGTTAAAAAAGGGACTGTACGCTGGTAGGCGCTTAATAGAGTGGAAGGAGTTAGCCAAGGCTGCCTGTTCTGCTCGAGCGTGAGCAGGTGCATTATCAAAAAGGAATACAGCGTCGGCATTTGGCTCATCACGTTCTACGCGGGCCGAAACATCGCCGAGGAAATCATTAAAAACAACCCAATGAACTTTGTCCACCACATTTCAGTGAATATCTCCATTAGCGGACATGCATGCTATAATGTTCAAGTTCGCTCCCTTTGTCGTTGTGGTCATGTGCACAGCTGGTTGTCCTTTAGCTGCCCCACCGAATTTCCTGAAACACCAGATATTGAAGTTAGTGTCATATAAATAGAAGCGGCCAACACGCGGTCCATCAGACTGCAGCCATTGGGCGTACAGCAAGCGGCTGTGCTTGATATCGTCACGGTTGCGATCTGTAGGCCTCTGCGTCACGAGCTTCATCGAGTAACAGTGGGCATCCAGCAAGTGATCAACTGTGCTTGCACTGATTGTTACTTCTGGCAGTTCTTTCTCCAGGGCCTCCTTTATTTGCTTTAATGTAAATGTACAGTTTTCGTCGACAATTCGTCTCAAAGCACTTACGATGTCATCTCCAAACTTCCTTTTTGAACCGCCACCATGCTTCGATCTTTCTCTGTCGGTAGCGGCAATCGATCTTGCTGTTTTAATGTTGATGCCTAGAGCGTCGGCCAGTTGCTTTATGTCACCGCCACGCCTGTAGACGTCCACAATCCTAGCCTTGTCTACCACCGATACTCTGCTGTTTTTTCGACAAGGTTCATCGGAATTCTTAAAGTGTGGTCCTCGTTTGCGTCTAGCCATGACTTCAAGCAAAGCTCTCTCTTCGTCTGCAAATGTGCCTGTATGAAAACACGTTTCAAATAAACACGCTTCAGCTACACTAAGCGTCGTCTGTTGCATGAAAACAGGAGTACTTCCTTTGATGCTTTCATAACAACTTATTTCCACATGAACCCGATTAAATGCAAGTTTAGTATTTTTAAGTGGTTATTTCTGATTTCAAGAACGAATGAATAACATTTGTCGGTCACTGTTCTCACTGGGCTGAGCAGACGACTGCTGTAGCCTCAGCGAATAAGTAGCCAAATGCCGTCTGCTAAGCAGACGACACGAATGTATGCATATGCGATGGTGTAGATGGTTAGCCGGAATGAAGCAGTAGCGATGAAATAAAGACTAACATAGACTCTATGAGCAAATACATTTAAGTACCCATAAATGCAATTACTACTCACTCAATTTTTGATTTTGAAGCTATGACACAAAAACACCAAAGTAGCGCTGCGCACTTCATTTCATAAGCGCTACAAGGTATAGGCGAGGAAAAAGTTCTTCCTGTAACTTCATATTTACGTTATTCTGACACTTATACCATATGAAGTGGCTAACTGTGTGTTTCTAGCGCATAGACTAAACTGACTGGCACCTGAATTAAAGTCATTGGCGATTGGATTAAATACGGTGGCACTTGGATTAAACTCATTGGCACGTGGCCTCATTGAGTTGGCGCTTGGATTAAATATGTTGGCGCTTGAATTAAATGTTTGGCACATGTATTAAATAGCTCGGCGCTTAGATTATTTGAATGGCGTGCAGATTATTTAGGCTGGCACTTGGATTAAAGTGAGAGGAAAAACCTGTAGTATATACCATGAACTCGAGGTGGTTAAAGGTGGGAAGTAGACACAAAGCGCAAGCCGTAAGAAAGTGTGCGTGTGCCACCTCTCATTTAGTCCTTGGAATGTCTGCTCGATGTCGGTGCTTCTATATGCGGCATATATGATGAAAAGATGCGAGATGGTAGTATCTTGGAGTGTTCACTAGATGGACGAACGGACACACAGACAGATGCATGGACGGACGCATGCATGGCTGCACGGACGGATGGACGCATAGACGGATGTAGGGGCGGATGCATGGACGAACACAGGGACGGACGCGTGAATGGACGTGCGGGCGTACCAACAAGACGCACGCATGGATGGGCGGATGGACGCATGGACGGTAACGCAGACGGACGCATGGATGGACGGAAGAAAGAACGAATGGATGGACGGATGCTTCACCCCACTCTCCATCATTCACACCGTGAATATGCTGCCATTTTTTTGTATTGTAAAAAGGCAGGCTAAAGCCTGCCATTCACAACCATTAAGTTCGCATCTTGCGTAGAGAGTGTAATTGCTAGCCATTGCGCTGAGGCATCTGATACACATTAATGTTGTCATCAAAGTCCGTGGTTAATACCCAAGCCAGGCAAGCGACTGCAGATTGTGGACTTGAGACCCATATCTCTCACATCTTGCGTGGGGAAACTCATGGAGCACGTGATTCTGGAGAGGATAACTACCTATCTCGAGGACCGGGATGCGCTTCCACCCACAATGATAGGGTTCAGGAGGAACCTCTCAACGCAAGACGCAATGCTACAGTTAAAACATCAGATTATAGAAAATCCGGGAACAGCGACAAAGGCCATTCTAGGGTTAGACCTCAAGAAGGCCTTTGATAATGTAAATCATGCAACGGTGCTAATAAGGGTAAATGATCTAGACCTGGGACAACGGACGTACAATTACGTGCGTAATTTCCTGACGGGAAGGAAGACAAAGATCATGATAGGGGACCTAGTTTCGGAGGAAATTGAGATGGGCA